CCCCAAAACCCCAAAACCCCAAAACCCCAAAACCCCAAAACCCCAAAACCCCATTATGAAAAATATTTCTTAATATTTATTATAGTATCTAAGAAATGGATGAAAAAGTAATGACTCTATCTTTTTTTTGAATGTCAAATAATTACCATATTATTGGCATACTTTTGTATTTGTCTCATCAATAAAGCTAGAAGGATGAAGTAATTGAAACGATCCTCAAAAACTCTAAAGAATCAATATTTGTTGACAAAGAGGATAGCTATAGTGATGACTTCAGCCAGCCTGAGAAGGTTAAAGAAAGTAGTGCTGAGTCTATAAAAGAAGGTATTTAATTTCTAACTTAAAACTTCACTACTAAAATTCTTTATTTATTTTTCATAATATTTCATAAATCCTACAAAAGTTCTTTTATCTTCTAATACTAATTACTTCAGTAGCACTTCCTAGCCACAGACACAGTCTTTCCAAACTAATAGACTGGCCAGAAGACGATCTTCAGCTCGACAGTGACACTATGACTCTTGCTAAGAACTACATATCCCAACTCTACTCCAAAATCCGCACTTTGGGCCGCTGAAATGTACTCTTTCTTCACCTTAGCCCCTAACAATTCTGTCAGATTTCCAACAGACTTCATAAAAATACAATTTTAAATGAACTTTTGAGTCCAAGGCTTAGATGAAGAAGGCTACTAAGATTTTAGGATAGGTGGTACCGAGGCTCTTAAGCTCTGAACAATTAGATATCTTTCAGCTTCATAATCAAGCAAGTAGTCGATTGAGATCTATACTTAAACACTTTTATGAGATAATAGCATATAACACAATTTCTTTGAAGAGTTCTATCTTTATGGCTTATATTCAAAATCTCTTGTTTTATAAGAATATTTGGCAATTTTTAAGTTAATAATGTATCTAATTTTGTGCCAACCTCACTTTTTAAGGATATAGAAAACTCTACAGATATGAAGCACACGGGTTGTGAAAGACAAGGGAGGCAGATGATCAATATTGGAGATCTGTCAAGTTCGAAACAGATTGTAATTAGGCTTTACTTATATACTTATAGAGTAACCAGTTATGCACAAAGAAAAGAGGCTAGTTCATTTATTCATAGAAGAACACAAGGTCCAGCCTACCCAGGCTAAACTCTTTATAAAATAAGCTGAACCTGATTTATAGATCTCACTACAAAAGCCCAAATTCCACGAGTCTTGGAAAATAAGAGAAATGAGGAAAGCAAACATACTAATGAGGCTAAGTAAGCTATCCTTTGAAACCCAAAATAATTATTATGCCTTAGAGCAGGATTTAAGATGGAGGCTCGTGAACAAGGAGAATCTATTTTCCATCATAAGATAGCAATCGAGCACAAGAAGAGAAAATAATTGTACAGAACTTGTACCACATCTTTCATATAGGAAGTATGAGGAATGCAAGACCTATAATAAAGGAGAAGGAGGTTAAGCTAGATGATATTTCTACTCCCAAAGAAATTCCATCCCAGAAGGCGGTAAAGGTATTCTGAGTATCTTAAGTGTTTTCTTAGGTTAAGTTTCCAAAACCAAATGTTTCTCCAAAATAAGCAGAATATGATTAATATTGATACGAGGAATATAAATATATTTGATGACAACCATCCAAGAAAATGAAGGGCAAGGGTACGACCTTTGTGCAAGATTTTTCGAAGATTTATTGTGGATTCAGAAAATGCTAAATTTATGGATTCTCACCATTTGCTGTAGAATAACAGAAGTTTAAGATTAAGGCTAGGGAAGAAGGTCATTCGAAAAGTGAAACCAGTGAAGCTGAAAGACCCAGTACAAGCTTGAGCAAGCAGTATCTTGGATGCTGTGATCAGAGCGCTTTGTCATGAAGTTATTGATGGTGAATTATTTGGTTTATAACATTTTTGACAAGCATAGACCTTCCCAAAGATATCGTCATTTCTAAAGAAAAAGTGCATGCTTCAGGAGCAGCTACTCAAAAATCAGGCGTAACTTCTCGAGGCTACAGAGGAATCTCTGCTGATCGAAATTTTGTAAGAATCATCTGATTGATTTCTAACTCTTAGATTTAGTCAATCCGAAGGAAAAGATGCAAGAGGAGAAACTTCTCAAGACATGTTAATTATTCCTATGTTCGGAATGGGAGGGATAAGACTCTTCCAACAATAGATCAAAGGCCAATGAAATTCTCACCTCCAAATGAGTTATTTTCAGATCCCAGAATTTTAGACAAAGAATCTTTCGATAAACTCATATTAAGAAACAAACACAAAAAGGTACTGTGGAGCCGTTATACCCATAGACACTAAGAATGAAACACAACTTAAGAAAGACTGGAGGTTTCAGCATGAATTCTCCTAATAGAAGCCCTAGAGTAAAGTTTAACCGCCAACAGCTCATTAACTACTTATTTAACCAGAAGACTACCAAGAAAGATCAGGATCTAATATTTATTTATACGCAGAAGCTCCAGTTCATTTAGTCATGGATAATTCTATATTGATCAATTTTTATTGAGAATTAAGGGGTTTTGGGGTTTTGGGGTTTTGGGGTTTTGGGG